AACACATCACTCTGCAATGGCGGAGCTACACTACTTCTCCACCCTCGGAGCCATTGTTGCCTCACTTTTCCTCTTCTACTACTTAAGGCCAAAAATCGCCACTCACAAATCCCCGCCCGAAGCCGGTGGGGCCCGGCCCTTCACTGGCCATCTCCACCTTATGTCCTCTAGCTCCGAGCTCCCCCACATCACGCTGGCCGCCCTTTCTGACACATACGGCCCGGCCTTCACAATCCGTCTGGGCATGAGACGAGCCCTAGTCGTCAGCAGCCGGGAGCTCGCCAAACACCTCTTCACCGCCTGTGACTCGGCCATATCCTCCCGCCCGGCCCTCCGAGCCGCCTGCCACCTCAGCCGCGGGTTCGCCACCTTCGGATTCTCTCCCTACGGCCCCCACTGGATCCAAATGCGAAGGCTCGTCTCTACTGAGCTGCTCTCGGCCCGGCAGGTCAAGATGCAGCGAGATGTGCGCTCGTCCGAGACGGCTTTGTCGGTTAACGAGCTGTTCCGTAGGTGGGAAGAGAGGAAGGATGGGTCGGGCTGGGTTTTGGTGGACATGAAGAAGTGGCTGTGGGAGCTGAACTTGAACGTGGTGCTGAGGCTGGTGGCTGGGAAGAGGTTCGCGGGCATTAATGGGGATGGGGAGGAGATGAGGCGGTGCCGGGAGATGATGAGGAGTTTTTTTGAGCTGGCGGGGAAGTTTGTGTTGGCCGACGCCTTGCCTTATCTGGGGTGGCTGGATATTGGGGGGCACGAGAAAAGGATGAGGGAAAACGCGAGGGAGATGGAGAGATTGGTCGGGGGATGGCTGGCGGAGCATCGGGAGAAGGAATATGGTGACGATGATGAGAAGCCGCCGGATTTTATGGATGTGATGGTGTCGGTTATGAGAGGCGGTGAGTTTCAGACTGAGTATGATGATGACACCATCATCAAGGCCACTTGCGAGGTACGCACATGTATGTATATATATGATGTTGGAAATTCATAAAAGATATTGATATGATATTTGATCAACTAGTTATTGGGTCTAACATTGAAAATGAATTGATTAGTTAACATCTTCAAAGAAAAATAATTTCATGTGCTGTGTCCTGTTTGTAAAACAGATATACGATGATCCTAACTACACGTGTTATGCAATTGTAGTTAGTATAGAGAGAATAATTATTTAGTACAATGTGGCAAAAAATTAAAGACAATAAACTACTTCCTCCTATCTTTTTTATTTGTCATTTTAACGTTACTAGTAAAGTGCACGTGCGATACACGTAATACATAATTTATATTTTAATGTGATTTTAAATTATATTTTCTCATTTATAGTTTTCTGATCTATTCTATTTTTTGCATTACTATTTTCAGTTAACAAAACACAAGAAGTACATTACATAATGGACAATGTCAAATATATTAAAAGTTGAAATACAATTTTAAAAATAATAATATTTAAAAGTAATGGTTAAAAACATTGCATTAAAATTATGATTCCTTAGTTTATTTGACATCAAACTAACCTCACAATCATTAAATGATGTCACGGAAATTTTGTGTGAATATTCGCTCTTTTATATATATTAGTTGTAAACTCAACATATAAAATAAATGAAATAATTAACATAAAATTATACAATGTTTGAGTTTGCAAATTATGAAATGGTATATAATAATTACAGTTGTCAATATATGATAGTACAAATATTAATTGAAGTGTATTTTAAATAAATTATTGATATCGTATATTCTTACAAATTTAAAAACGATAATATAATTAATAATATAAAATGTAATCTATTTATGTATTATTTATTTTATATACAAAATATTCTATATTTTTATATAACTCCATAAAAGTACATCAATATATTTTATATAATTCATCATGATAGAAACAAATATCAAATGTGATATTTTGTAGTTAATGAAAAAGATCCGTATTCAAAGTTAACATATTTTATAATTTATTTGATAATTGCGTTCAATTACTTTTAGTTAACTGATTTTATTTGTTATTATGCATACTTCTAATTTTACAATAAATTATACTTTTATCTCTTTTACTAATCATTGTAATTATAGTTTTACTATTATAAATATATCAAATATAAAAGATATCTTAAGCAATCAACATTCATCTATTTAGCAATAAAAGTCTTCGCATTTAATTTTTTTACATGTTATTCATTGTTTTATCATTGTATTTCAGTTTATAAGATTTTGTTACTTTTCAAAATTGATTTTTTCGATAAAATTATTATTGAATATAGTTGTTTAAATTTATTTTAATGAAAGAAACCTTTAACTAAACTATATAATTTATAAAATATAGATTCGTAGTATAGTAATATAAAACTTGAAATTAGTTAACCTTATTATTTTTCTAATTAATTTATTACCGTATTCAAATATTTTTTTCTAGAAATTAAATCTAAATATGAATAAAATAATTATATGATTTTTATATTTTAGTATTGCTATCATGTCCATAAATTCATGTGAAAAATACATTTTTTTGTTTTCTTTCATGTTATATCATGTGTTTTTTTATTATCTTTTTAATCATATGTCCTACTTGATACTCTATTTTTTCGAAAAAGGCATTTGAGTAGTTTTATATGCCTTGTTATTAGTTTAATGTAAATTTTATATAATTATATTATTAAACTTTGTCTATTATGACATGTAGTTATGTTATAAGTAATAAATTTATATTATAATAGTTTATACTCAATATTGTATGTTGTGAAATTGAGGATAGATTTTTGCCCAACTTTTTTATTTGTTCCACGTAATATTTAGGAATATATTTTAATGCAATTTAGTATTATTGAAATAGTTTGCATCTCGTTTATTAATTTTTTCCTTTATTGATAAATTAATATTTTGTTTACCTATTTAAATCTATTTTGTTTAGGTTTTATTTTTAAAAGGGTTTTATTTTTTGTTAGAATCCTATTTTATTGAGATATTTAATTTTTATTATAATGCATTGAGATACTTAATTAATTGTTATTATAGTTTTTTCATTAAAAATTATATAATCATAAGAACTTTTAAGTCCCTGCAATTGTACCTAAAACTAAGTTTGAGTATAATATTTAACTGTAATTATAATTTTATTATTAAAACACACCAAACACAAATGATATCAAAAAAAAAAAATTGTAACAACTACTCGATCAATAGTTTTTGCTTAAATAAAGAAAAAACAGAATTATAATTTTTTTAAATGATACTTATTTAAAAAAAAATCTTTTATGTATTAATGAAAATTGAAATAAATGATTTTTTTGGAATGTTAAATGATTGCTATTATTTTTTAAAGAATACTAATTAATACATATTCTAACCCATATTTTTATTAAGTTTTTTTGGTGACCTTAAACAGTTTAAGAATTTCAAAATATTTTAGAAATAACTTTTACTTTTAAGATACATTATAAATGAAAATAATTATAAATGATATCACGAAAAAATTCTAGATAAATGAAAGTTCATAACTGCACGAGGGTTATGTATGATTCCTTAGTTTATCTAAGATCAAAATAGTAATTGCACAATCTTCAAAATAAGTCACAAAAATTTTGAGTGAATCCTCGCTCTTTTATGTATTTAGTTGTAGACTCAACATAAAAAATAAATGCAATAATTAACAAAAATATTATATAACGTCATATGAGTTTGAAACAATTATATATTGTATATAATTATTCCACTCTTCAATATATGATAGTACAAGGATTAAATAAAGTGTCTTTTAAATAAACTATTGATACAGCATATTCTAAAAATTTAAAAATGACAATCTTATTGTTGATACATCAAATCCCATTATTGAGAATTATGAAGTTTTGAAACTTAAAAAAATCATATAAAAATTAACAAATACAAATATTATAAATCACTAAATATGTAAAAATTGTTATTAAATATCATTTTATATTTTATTTAGATTATATTTCCATACATAAAAAATCTCAATATTCAGTTTATGGCGCAATCATGTATTCGTTTCATGAGTGATTTACAAGAAAAAGAAAAATCAAAAGAGTTATTTTATGATATTGACAATTAAAAAATAAGTTGTGTACTTGAAATAATATTTAAGAGATTGTAAGGTATTTATATATTATTAATTTATCTTAAAAGATATTTTATATCTTTATATTAACTCTGTAAAAGTATATCAATATATTTTATGTAATTCATCATGATAGAAACATGTATCAAATGCGATATTTTGTAATTAAATAAAAAAAATCCTTATTCAAAGTTGACATACTTTATAATTTATTTGACAAATATTTTCAATTACTTTTACTTAACTAAACTTTATTTGTTATTATGCATACTTAGAGGATGCTTGGATACAAAACATTTCAAAAAAATCCAAACATTTAATTCAATAATTTTTTTTTAACTCAGCTTTAACTCAACTCCACTATCATCAATATTTTCAATATAATTAAATAATATCAATCAATCATTCTTACACACCACATCAAATGTAATTCACTATTCATCAAGTTACATAATTTTAACTAATCATCACTTTACATCTTCTTTCTTGTACTTTTACATCAAATCAATTTTAATCATTTTATTTTAAGTATTATTTTAATATACTCACTAACTAACCATACCACCTTTTTCAAAATTAACCAAACCAAACCAAGAAAGTCCAAACAAAACAAAAAAATTTTATATCCAATAAATTATACTTATTGGATATAAAAGATATCTTAAACAATCAATATCATCTATTTAGCAATAAGTCCTCCCATGTAATTTTTCACATGTTATCCATTTTTCAATTATAGAGTAGTTTTTATCATTATATTTTAGTTTATAAGTTTTTGTTACTCTTAAAAATTAATTTTTTCGATAAAAAAATATTATTGAAAATAATTGTTAAACTTTACTTTACTAAAATGCACCTTTTCACTAAACTATGTAGTACATAATTTATAAATTCATAGTATAATAAAATAAAATTTGATATTAGTTAACATTATTATTTTTTCTATTCAACTTATTACCTTGTTTAAATATTTTCTAAAATTCTTCCGAAATTTTCTATTTCAATCAATGGGAATAAAAACAAAATATTTATATATTTTTATAATTTAATATTGGGTATTATGTAAATAAGTTCACGTGCAAAATATATTTTTAGTTTTCTTTCATGTTATATAACGTACTTTTCTTTATTTCTTCTTTTTTTTTTTCTCATATGTCCTACTTGATACTCTATTTTTTCAATAAATGCATTGGAGTAGTTTTATATGTCATATTATTTGTTTCATGTAATTTTACATATTATGTTATATCAACTTTGCTTATTATAACATGTAGTTATGTGATTAGTAATATGCAAATAATATAAACTTAAAAATACAATATATTTATATTATAATAGTTTATAGTTAATATTGTATGTGAATTGATTCACTACTTTTTTATTTGTTCCACATACTATTTAGGAATATATATTAATGCAATTCAAATTTTTTGAAATAGTTTGCATCTCCTTTATTAATTTTTCTTTTTTTGATAAGTTACTTTTATCTCTTTTTAATTAGAGTTATGTAATATAATAATAATAATAATAATAATAATAATAATAATAATAATAATAATAATAATAGTTGGCATGGTGTTAGTCCAAGTATACAAAATTATCAATTGAAATGTAAATTAAATAGAATAAATTTCTTTTTTTTTTTATTATTATCTTACAAGCCTAGATAGATTTTTTTTTTTTGGTTGCTTTTGCTTTTGAGCATGTTTAAAAGAAACTATCTTGGCACGATTATATTACAAAATTATAAGTTTAGCTATCAGGAAATCAAATTGATCATGATCAAGTCCTAATGAGCATAGAAATCATACACCACACGGCTGAAAGCAAGTTTTTATTATTTTATTATATCATTGGAGTCTTTGTGTTTTCATTATAAATTTAGATTACAATCCTTTTATATTTATATGTTCAATATGATTACAAATTTGTCATTAAAAATATGTCAAAGTAAGGGTTTTTTTAGGCAAATTATTATTTTTACGAAATCACTCGTCCTTTTATAATAGTATAGATTGATCATTAATCAAATAAATGACATTTTGGATCTTTTATACATAATTTTACATTGTTACCCTCATTTAATTATCATTTTGGGAGGGAAGTTGTGAAAGATGATCAATTTTCTCTCTTAAAATAACATAAAAAAAAGATAAAAAAAAAAGAAATTAATTAATATTAATTTGCTTTAAATAAAGCTAATATTTACAAGATTTCTTTTTTTTTTAATTTATGTGTTAAAGCAGAGAACTACGTTAAAAACTAATAGGAGGCAGTACTTTTTTAATTGAAACAAACAAAAAGACACTAAACAATCGCTTTTCATTTTTCAGGGGAAATGCTACAGTCCCGTTACGGAATCATTCCGTCGGGACTTGTAACCGTTAGATCATCATGTAACCGTCGTGGATAGTTGATCTAACGGTTACAAACCCCGACGGAATGGTTCCGTAACGGGACCATAGAATCTCCCCATTTTTCATACAAGATAGTTGTAAGGTCATATATATATAGTGATTTGCTTGAATATTGGGAGTGCAGGCTTTAATCATCGGTGGGACGGACTCAACCACAGTGATGTTAATATGGGCCCTTTCCCTCCTACTCAACAATCGCCAGGCCCTCAAAAAAGCTCAGGAAGAGCTGGATACACACGTGGGTAAGAAAAGATACGTGGACGAATCTGACATTGGCAATTTAGTCTATCTCCAAGCCATCACAAAAGAGACCCTGCGGTTATGCCCCGCGGGACCACTGCTTGGCACACGCGAGTTTTCCAAGGACTGCATTGTGGGTGGCTACCACATCCCAAAGGGGACATGGCTGATGGTGAATGCATGGAAGCTGCACCGAGACCCGCACGTGTGGGGACCTGACGCACTGGAGTTCAAGCCCGAGAGATTTCTTGGCGAGCACGGGAACTTGGATATGAAAGGCCGTGATTTCAAGTTGATCCCATTTAGTGCGGGTCGGAGGATCTGCCCTGGGGCAAACTTTGGCTTGCAGATGATGCATTTGGTGTTGGCTAACTTGTTGCACGGGTTTGAGCTGTCGACCGTGTCTGGTGAGGAGGTGGATATGAGGGGTAGTCATGGGATGATCAATATGAAAGCCATGCCACTTGATGTTCTTCTTGCCCCTAGACTGTCTCCAAGTCTTTATAATTTAGCCACTCAAAGTATGTAAATGTTAATGTTCAAAAGTTCATGCCGCATTGTAGTAAATTATTGGATTGTGAATCCACGTAGATCCCGTTGCTTATGATATAATTTATAACAGCTTACTATTAATTCCAATACATTAATTTCTTTCATTCACGCCTAAGTGTGTGTGTATATTAGTTTTTAATATAAATAAAGTAAAACGATAAAATAATTTTTAGAAAATTAAATAACTTCATTGGATAAAACAGATTGAGACTCCAAGTTTGAGAAGCAACATATATAACAAAATCAAACAAACTAGGAACATGTGTACCAGTTAATTATTTGTTTAAGAAATAACAATGTTCAATATTCACCGTATTGGTATTTTTACTATTTCACGACTTGAAATGAATTTCAGTAGTAGTTGGAAAACTAACGTACGATGTAATTTTGTCATTTGTTCTGTTTATACAATTAATTGATGATGGGATTGTTCACTAGATTCTGATTTTAATTCAAACTAACTTGCACTGTTTAAATATTTATAAATTGACAACAGCAAATAAAATGAAGAGAAAAACAAAGGAATTAAATATAAATAAATTTACCAACGAGTTTGTACAACATAGCAGAAACTAGAAACCAAAGAGATTTAGTATTAAAATTAGGATGGACATAAACATTGAAATTACACAATATTAACAAAATTAATCACCAAATCTATATAGTTGAAACTTACAATTCTACACAATGGTACCATTCATCCCAACTTTCTCTGGCATGTAGGAACCGAAGGCACAAATACAAAATATTAATAGACAATGCCATAATAACACTTTTTTCAGTAATAAAATAATGCCCAATTATATCTGATTAAATAAATTAATCAAATTAGAAATTTCAAAAAACAATTGCCTAACGAATTTTTTTTTTTTTTGAGATATAAAATTATATTCAGTTATATCTAATCAAAAGAAATCAAATTCTAAACTTTAAAAGGCAATGACCTAATCATACTTTTTTTTAGTGATATAATCATTCTAGTTATATATAATAAAACAAATCAAATTCGAAACTTCAAAAGACAATCTACTAATGAAACTTTTTTTAAGTTACAGAATAATTTTGAATTTTCTATAATAAAACAAATCAAATTTGAAACTTTAAAAGACTATGGCCTAATGAAACTTTTTCTAGTTATAAAATTATTTCCTATTACATATAATAAAAACAAAAAAATTCAAAAGATTAAAAGACAATAGCCTAATGACACTTTTTTTCAGATATACCAAGTAAAAACAAATAAAATTCAAAACTTTAAAAGATAATGGCCTAATATCACTTTTTCAAATAGCAAACAAAATTCCTACAACATTTAATAAAAAAATTAAAATTTCGAAATTTCAAAAGACAATGGCCTACTACACTTTTCTTCAGTTATAACATTATTTCCAATTATATCTAATAAAACAAATTTTATACGAACTTTAAAGGACATTGGCCTTGTGACACTTTTTATCAGTTGTAAAGTTATATCTAGTTATATCTAATAAAAACAAATAAAATTTGAAATTTGAAAAAACAATGACCTAATGATACCCCTTTTTTTTCGGTAAAAATGACCTAATGATACTCTTTCTTCAAATATAAAATTATTTCCAATTATATATAATTAGAACAAATCAAATTCGAAACATTAAAAGGCAATGGCCTCATAACATTTTTTCAGTTATGAAATTAGTTCCAGCTATATCTAATAAAATAAATCAAATTTGAAACATTAAAAGAGAATTGCCTAAAGACACTTTTTTCAGCTATAAAATTATTTCAAAATATATCTAATAAAATAAGTAAATTCAAAACATTAAAAGACAATGGCCTAATGTTAGCGTGACCAAATGGTGGGCCAGTTCACGACCCGGCCCAGCCCGGCGAGTCCCCGTGCCTCAAAACTTGGGCCTGTAATCGGCCCGTCTCTTTCTAAAGGCTGGTACCGGCCTTGACCCGTGAGTTCAATGACCCGCCAGATTTAGCCCAGTTTCGGGCTAGTTCGGTTATTTTTTTTCGTTATATTATTAAGTAACTTTACTCTAAAAAAAAAGTAAAATTACCTAATAAGAGTCATCAACATTTGATATTAGTTTGATAACATCATCCAACAGTTCTAGTAATGTGTGAAAAGGTGTGTGTAGTTTTCTGGAACTGTTGGATGATTGTATCAAACTAATGTCAAATGTTGATAACTGTAAGCTTACTGTTACATTAGGTTTGCATTCATTTTGCCGGTTGAGCTTGAACAGGGGAATGGACGGTAAACGATCTCAACTATAAATAATTAAGTGCCTAAATGCTATTAGCATGTCTAACGACTATAGCAATTAATTGGGTATGAGTTGAGAGATCATGTATTTAACATTGTAAGATATTTTTTAGACTATGTTACTCATTTACATCTCACCCTCAATTGTTGGAGTTGTTCATAATTAAAAACAAAAAGTTAGCATATGAAACGGATATAGCAACTGTTCACCATTTCGAAAAAGAATCATGAACTTGAAAAGCATGTGCCTAAGATTCAGGAGAATTGTCCTATTTCGGTTCGCTCTACCGGATATGGCTCCACCACCGCCGTTTCGTTTTCGCATGCAACGCGACGAAACAACTGGTTTCTGCTCTCAAGATCCTCGCCACCGATTTTCGCTCCAACATTTTACAAGTTCACCATCAGATCAAAACAGTAACATCAATTACGCCAATGATGTCAAGTCCATAGTCTCCATTATGTATCATGCTTACAACTCTCTCATATATCTACAATAGAGCAATAAAAAGAAAGTACATAGAGACTAATATCAACAAGCTTCAAGTATTGAAGAATCTGTATGTCGGCCTGTGTGAGCGTTCTCTTATTGCCTATTGTAGGCGTATAAGAGAGTTAGAAGCATTGTACATAATGGAGACTGTGGGCGTGGAATCATTGGCGTAATTGATGTTAATGCTTTGATTTTATGGAGAACTTCTAAATGTGTTGGAGCGAAAATCAATGGCGTTGATCCCGAGAGCATAATGATTGTTCCCGTCACGTTCCACACAAAAACGAAACAGAGGTAAGGAGCCGTGTTTCGGCAGAGAGAACTGGAATGGCACAATTCTCCCAAATACCGGACACATGCTTTTCAAGCTCATGATTCTTTTTCAAAATGGTGAAACCGTTGTTATATCTGTTTCGTCTGCTAATTTTTCATTGTTAATTATAAACAACTCCAACAACTATGGGTGAGATGTAAATGAGTAGTATATTATAAAAGAAATCTTACAATGTTAATTGCATACTCTCTCAACTCGTACCCAGTTAATTGGTATAGTTGTTATACATGCTAGTATCATTTAGACACTTAATTGCTTCTAGCTAAGATTGCTCACCGTCATTTGCCTTGTTCAAGCTCATCCGGTAAAACGAATGCAAAATAATATAACGGTAATCTTGCAGTTGAGTCATCAACATTTGACATTAGCTTGATACCATCATTCAATAGTTTTAAAAAGCTACACACATTTTCAGTCACCACTGGAACTGTGGTCGTGGCATCATTGACGTAATTGATGTTACTGTTTTGAATTGATGTTGAACTTGTAAAAAATGTGTTGGAGCAAAAATCGGCAGCTTGGATCCCGAGAGCATAGTAGTTGTTTCCATCATGTTGCATGCGAAAACGAAACCGGTGGTGGCCCCGTGTCCGACAGAGCGAACCAAAATAGGATAATTCCCCCGAATATTGGGTACATGCTTTTCAAACTGTTAACCCTTTTCGAAAAGAGACGTGACCATGTTAAAATATTATTTTCTGAACTGCATCCACTTAATTGTTATATTTCTTAGAGAAGATAATGAATTACATTTAGCCACTTAATTGTGAGAAGCCGAAAAGTTGACGACCATTTCCCCGGTTGAGTATGAATAAGAGAAGGGACGATGAAATTATTCCGACTTCCCACAAATGAATGCCTAAATACCTATTATCATGGCTAACAACTATGATAATTAAGTGGATGTAGTTCACATGGAAACAATTTAACATAGTCAGGTATCTTTACGAGAAGAAATCATTAGCTTTAAAACCATATGCCCAATATTTGAGATAGTTGTCCCATTGTGGTTCGCACTATCAGACGCAGCTCACCACCGCCATTTCGTTTTTGCATGCACCGTGACGCGAACAAATATTCTGCTCTTGGGATCCTTGCCACCGATTTTCGCTCCAACAAATTTTACAAGTTCACAATCAAATCTAAGCAGTAACATCAAATATGTCAATGATGTCATGCCCACAGTCTCCATTAGGGAACATGCTTGAGGTGAGTTTGTGGAGTTATTATGTAATAAATAAATGTTTATTTTAAATAAAATCTTCATTAATCATTATTACTGTCAAAAATTAAAGTGAGATTATATTTTGATTTAATCATTATTATTATTAATCATTATTAATGTATTGATCTGTAACATAAATTGAAAGTGCTTAAGAGAATTTTAATTATTTGAGAGAGGATAAGACGAAGTACACTTGCCTTACATTACTGATGTCTTATTCAACAACTTATGAATGCGTGAATTCAACAATTGCTGAAAGTTCCGTGTGAAATTCACTGGTTTACTTTGTAACTTAATTGTTTATTGACATTCTTCATATTTACATGAATTATGAGAGATATATTATGATATTTGACCGTGTTTATTGTTGGATTGTGCACTATTTTCTTAAATTTATTAATTTATGATAGAGATATTTTTGTCGTTAGTTTTGCAGTAAATATGTCCAAAAAACATTAAAAATGGAGTCGAGTCATGATTGAAGATCTATTACTATATAATATGGAGAAGGAAAAATGTTTGAATAAATATTCATTTCCCGCTTAAATATTATTTTTTCCCTCTTAAGTTTAATTTGAATTGTTTTCGTCCAAATTTGAATTGTTTTATTTTAGGATAAGATTTGATTGTTTTTTTGTTAAATTTGTTATAATTCCTTTTCTTTAGGATGAATGAGATGAGATTTGTTACCATTTTTTTAAAATACGATTTGGTACATTTTTAATTCACTCGCTTTTTCTTTTTTTTTTTCACGTTTTATTTCACTCGATTTTCCTTTTTTTTTATGGGTTGAGATTTGGTAAATTTTGTATTTTTAATTTTTTTAATTTTAATTCACGTTTTTAATTTTAATTTCACGTTTTGAATTTTTTCCTTTTAATTTTTTTTAATCCGATTTTTTTTTTCATTTCAAAATTAATTTTAAACAATTCCACTTAATGTAGATTCTTAACAATATGGTCCATACATATCTGATTTTTTTCCTTATTTAAAAAAAAATCAAAATTAATTTTAAACAGGTCCACTTAATGTGGATTCTTAACAATATGGCCCATACATATCCGATTTTTTTTCCTTATTTAAATAAAATAATTCAAAATTAATTTTGATATATTTTGAAAAGACTCGATTATTTTTATAACATATCCGATTTTTTTCCTTATTTAAATAAAATTATTCCAAAATTAATATTGATATGTTTTAAAAATACTCCATTATCTTAATAACATATCCAACATTTTTTACTTATTTAAAATAAAATAATTCAGAATTAATCAGATTTTGAAGAGTTTTAAAAAGACTCCATTTATCTTAATAACATATCCGATTGTTTTTCCTTATTTAAATAAAATAATTCAAAATTAATTTTGATATGTTTTAAAATTATTTGATTTTCGTCTAAAATTTTTTAAAATACTATTTTTATTTTTTTATTTTTTGTAAAAAAATGGATGAAAAAGTCAAATTCAAATTAAAAAAAATGCTATTTTGAAAAACATATTTTGTAAATCTTAAAAATATGGTCAACGATATCTTAAATACAACGGGTAAATATGGTCAATGATATCATAAATTATTTTTTATATTCAGATAGTTCAACTTAATTGATGATTTTTTTTTCAAAAAATATGACGATCATATAATTTATCATATATCATATGTTTATATTGGATGTTATTAGTTTGGTTGATGACATTCATTATATTCAAATAAATAATATGTAATTTTTTTTATTTGGTTTTTCTTTTCTTACAATAATGAGATGTCAAACATAAATAACTATGTTTAATATAAAGTCTTAGAAAAGGTTTTAAGTAAAAAACTTGTCCGTGCATCGCACGGGATACACACTAGTTTGAGAATTAACTGCGACAATTCTTCTTCTTTTTTTTCTTCTTCAATGAACTCATGTATTTATTTATATAAAGAATTGAAAATATGTTTAGTAACTAACATTTAGTGAAAATATTTTGCGAACATTTATTATAAAAATTCTTTATTGATCATTATTACTGTTATAAAAATAAATGATATTTTTGTGAAAATATATTTCTGCTATTTTGTTAGTGTATTCCAGAATATTATGAAGGAAACTCGAAACATAAATGATAATTGGAAAAGAAAATTAAAGCCGTATCATAAATTTAAGTTGACATTAAAAAAAATGGGACAAAAAACAGAATTTATGCCTAAAAGAAAACTCGCGTGAGAATAATGGACGAAAAATAACTTGCAAGAACTTGGAAAAATGTATATCAAAGAAAAAAAAAATGCAATTTATGCCTAAACAAGGAACGAATCACACGCAAGGAAAACAAAATCAATCACACAAAACTACAAATGTCGTACACGTCAGTGAACAAATCAGTCCAATTGATCCAAAGTTTCTTTCCAAATTAACTTCATGCGTGCAACACTAAACAAATTCGATGAAGTGACATGATTAAGCACAATAGCTTACAACCCAAACCTTTATAGCACACAGTGATTAATGTGACATTTTTCACTTAGTAATATTCATAATTTATCAACCCCACTAGTTCATGTATTTTTTTTTTATCATGACTTTTAAATAGGATCATAAATTAAAAAATATGTTTCAATCTTCAATATATATCACAATTCATAATGTAGTATGCTTCTTTCTTTGATTAATTAAAAATAATTAATAATCCAAAATATATAAACTAATTTTAGATCACAAAACAATATCAATCATGTATCATTTGCATTATCACGTGCACCATATAGTAGAGAAAAATAAAAGAGACCATGTTAATTTGTCAATAAATGTGCACAATTTTACAGGGTCTCTCGTGCTCCCTCCTTTAGGAAAATTTGTCCCCAGGCCTTCCACTACCCAGATTNAACTACTTGCATTACTTTACACTTACACTGGCGCCAAACTGACATATTACCACTATCAAACAGATTGATATTGATCTAACGGCTACAAATTCCGTTGATCTAACGACTACAAATCCTAACGGAATGATTGCGTAACATAGCATTTTCCCCAAACATAAATGAAATAAACATAAAATCACATGGGTGAACCTACCATCAATCAAGCCAAGCAGTGTATATATCTACTCTACCACCACCCGATATCCCGAAAGAATTCCAGAATCAACACAATCAACTCTGCATTAATGGAGCTCAACTTTTCCATCCTCGCTGCAATTACTGCCTCACTTCTCTTCCTCTTCTACTGTTTACTGCCAACAAAAAACTCCCCAAACAAATCCCCGCCAGAAGCTGGTGGCGCCCGGCCCTTCACCGGCCATCTCCACCTCATGTTCCCCCCCTCCGACCTCCCATACATCACCCTGGCCGCCCTTTCCGAAACATACGGCCCGGCCTTCACCGTCCGTCTGGGCATGCGCCGGGCCCTAGTCGTCAGCAGCCGGGACCTCGCCAAACACCTCTTCACCGCCTGCGATTCCGCCATATCCTCCCGCCCCGTCCTCCGGGCCGCCTGCCACCTCAGCCGCGGCTTCGCCACCTTCGGATTCTCCCCCTACGGCCCCCACTGGATCCAAATGCGAAGGCTCGTCTCGACCGAGCTCCTCTCGGCTCGGCAGGTCAAGATGCAGCGAGACGTGCGCGCGTCCGAGACGGCTTTGTCGGTTAACGAGCTGTTCCGAAGGTGGGAAGAGAGGAAGGATGGGTCGGGATGGGTTTTGGTGGACATGAAGAAGTGGGTTGGGGAGCTGACACTGAACATGGTGCTGAGGCTGGTGGCTGGGAAGAGGTTGGCCACAGGAATTAATGGTGGTGGGGAGGAGATTAGGCGGTGCCGGGAGATGATGAGGAGTTTGTTTGAGTTGGCGGGGATGTTTGTGGTGGCGGATGCCTTGCCTTATCTGGGGTGGATGGATATTGGGGGGCACGAGAAGAGGATGAGGGAAAATGCGAGGGAGCTGGAGAGACTGGTCGGGGGATGGCTTGCGGAGCATCGGGAGAAGGAATATGATGATGATGATGATGATGATGATGAGGAAAAGCCGCGGGATTTTATGGATGTGATGATGAAGGTTATGAGAGGGGGTGAGCTTCAGACTGAGTATGATGACGACACCATCATCAAGGCCACTTGCGAGGTACGCGAATATATGTTATATCTAGACAAGCTCTGTTTTTAGGTAAACACTTCTTTGTCACTTTGGAAGAAATAAGAGTACAGTACCACCATTAATACTTGACAAGCTCTGTTTTTAGGAAAGTTTCTCAAGAAATTTGCATTGTGTATTTTTTGTATCTTCAATTGCATTTTGCCTCTTACAGTTAACATACACTTACCCTAGTATAAGCTTCTTTGACTTTAAGTGTCCTGGTAGCTAAACAGTTACATATGTTATGCATTTCTTGAGTGAGTTAGTATAAGTAGAATAGTTATTTATGATGATGTGCCAGAAAATACAAGATTTTGGATGGCCGTTATTAGAACAATGAAATAAAAAGCAGGTTGAAAGTTCCATCTTGCTAGTTCATCCATACACTTCAACACAATAGAGACACCAACTCACCAAGTTGTATATTGGACTGAAATATTGGAGGAATGAAAAAACAACCATTTGGAATGAATTTTCATTTTCATATTAATTTAAGGAAAATTCAAGACAATAAACTCTACTTTGTCATTGAAAATCAAAAGGACAGTACTGAACGATCCATTTTCACATGTTTTTCATAGAATAGTAAGGTCATATATAATGATTAATTTGCTTCAATTGTGACTGCAGGCTTTAATCGTAGGTGGGACGGACTCAACCACAGTCATGTTAGTATGGGCCCTTTCCCTCCTACTCAACAACCCCCACGCCTTGAAAAAGGCTCAGGAAGAGCTGGATACACACGTGGGCAAGGAAAGACACGTGGACGAATCAGATATTGACAATCTAGTCTATCTCCAAGCCATCACAAAAGAGACCCTGCGGTTATGCCCAGCAGGCCCCCTGCTTGGCGTACGCGAGTTTTCCGAGGACTGCCACGTCAGCGGCTACCACATCCCCAAGGGGACATGGCTGATGGTGAACGCGTGGAAGCTGCATCGGGACCCGCACGTGTGGGGACCCGACGCACTGGAGTTCAAGCCCGAGAGATTTCTGGGGGAGCACCGGAACTTGGATGTGAAAGGTCGTGATTTCAAGCTGATCCCATTTAGTGCGGGCCGGAGGATCTGCCCAGGGGCAAACTCTGGCCTGCAGATGATGAATTTGGTGTTGGCTAACTTGTTGCACGGGTTTGAGCTGTCGACCGTGTCTGGTGAGGAGGTGGATATGAGGGGCAGTCATGGGATGATCAATATGAAAGCCATGCCACTTGATGTTCTTCTTGCCCCTAGACTGTCTCCAAGTCTTTATAATTAAGCATATTTAGTAGGTGGATGTCAACGTTGAAAAGTTCATGTTACGTAGCAATAAATAATGCGATTGTGAAATCCATATACAACTTCAAGGAATGAATTATCACACCCTACTATTATATATTTCTTTCATTCATGACATGTGTGTGTAAATTTATTTTTAAAATAAACAAAATAAAGTAATAAAGTAATTTTTACAAGATTAAATAACATCGAATAAATCATATCATGACTCGAAATTTGAGAAGCAACATATAACAAAACCAAATTAGTAAATTAATTGGGAACATGTGCAACATTTAATTTTTTAAGAAATATTGAAATTTTAATTATTGTGTTAAATTCACTGTATTGATGACATAGCATAGAGATCTCAGTTATGAACTGGGTGTTGGGTTGGATACACTCACAATACGTAGACACTAACGTAATTATTTTATTAGATGAACAAAGTAATTACACGAGCACAATATGGACCAAGATACAATACTTCACTTATCAAGACCAAAACACACTAACTATGACACTCACACACTTTTATTTAGACTCTTGGATGTTTGGATTATTGGGATTGCATTGAAAATGAGGTGGTCTTCTCTATTTATAGCCACCACCTCCTCTAAAGAAATTCTCTAGAACATCTAATGTCTTGGGCATTCTAGATACTTCTACAAAACACCTACACACATATCCCTACTACAATTCTCTACAATATTTGAGAAGGCTCTAGAAGACTCCTCATTACTCTCAAAGGTTCCACATGCTTCTAGATCCTTCTACAATATTCCGGAACCTTCCACATTTTTCTTGGTCGTTCTAGATGCTTCCGGAACCTTCCACAATGTTCCACGACGTTTCACATTTTTCCGGATTGTTCTAGATGTTTTTGGGTCCTTCCCAAAAGGAGGTGTTGATATTTTAACACTGGGGGCTTTTGTGTAGCTTGGTTTAGACCGGAGCTCCCTTAGCTCGACTTATAGGAGGTAGGTCGGTCAGGTTGGGGTAGGTTCTTGAGTGCGAAAAGTCTAGTTATCGACCTAAGACCTCAATATGATGACTTTGGGTAGATCTAAAGAGCTTAACAGAGGCGCTAAGCGCGTGATATATTCTGAGGATATTGTGTAATAACTGTAAGGAGATCTTATGCAATAAGGTATGTGTATATCTAGTTCCTTTGACCATATAAAACTCTCAGTCAACAGGGTAATTGATTTCTTATATAAAGGGAGAGGTATGATCATTATGGGTTATGTTATATTGATTACTGTCACGTACGCATCATATACGACGGACTGACTTGATCATCGAAGTCTCTATATTGGAATCCTCCCAATGCTTTTCATGTACTCCGGCGAAAAGGTCAAGCACGACGCGGAGATCCAAAGAAAGTCGGTTATATATCCAAAACAAGAGTTATTTGGTAGATCCATATCAAATTGGTGTCGTCTGTGAGAAACTCGATTCTACCACGGTCGAAACGGAATTGCTTTTTCTCACAATTCATTCAAAGTTTTTTTTGCTAATATCAATGGTAGGGAGGAAGGAGCTAATAGGGAGAAGGATGGGGATGACATCTGGTTGGAGAAGCAACCTCTTGGTCCTAGCCCACTTCTGGGGTGACTTGTCAGTGGAGAGTCGCCATGAACCCTGGTTATTGAGGTCCCTCACCCCCAATGGATGCCGGTTTGAATCCCACCAGAGCTAACCCAAGGTCGGAGGACCCACTTCGTCAACGCTAGAGAACTTTGCGATTATCAAAAGGCATTGAAGAAATATAGAGGGCGTTTATTCATTCGCCGGAGATAGTCCCTGTTGGTGAGGAACCTCAAACTAACACCCCCAGAAACCACTCATCCAGATCACGTTGGAAAGAATGATCGCGGAGGCAGTGCACAACCAACCTGCCCACGTGCCACCGGCGGTCACGGTGTGACCTATGAACCGTCTCATGGTGACAAGAAGGGAGACGATGAGCCTGAACAGTTTATTAAATCTCCTATTGTGGTATCATAAGCTCGACGAGACTCATCACTAGAACGTATGGTTGCTCAGCCACGCGAGCTCCAGGAGAAGAACAAGGGATGTTGTTGTCCAAGCCTTTACGGGTATCCTCTTGCAAATGAGGTACACGATGCGAATTCGCATATTGATTTCAGGAACTAAACCTGTCTTATGATATGTCTACTGACCAAGCTCGACATTTCAGAAGTTTCAATAACATGGTTGTTCTACATAAGTATGACAACACAGTTTGTTGTCGAGCATTTTCAGCTACACTGAAAGGTCCTTCTCAGGATTAGTTTCATCAACACGCACTAGGTTTTCTGAAGGATTTTTTAAGGTTTAGCTCGATGTTTGTCAATAAGTTCTTCAGAGCACGTTAGCACGAAAAACCTACATGTGATCATCAATATACAACAGTAAGATGAAGAGTCCCTGAGGGTATACATAGCTCGATATTCCAAGGCGTGCGTAGTCCCTGAGGGTATACATAGCTCGATATACAACAACAAAAAGACTTCCATCTCTAAGTTTAACTCAGACCTCGAAGAATGGTATGTCACAATTGAAATGGGATGTGAGAAGGTGGGAGGGATTGCGACCTAGTCCCTTCACAGATTCATTGTTGCAAGGTCTTGTGATGAGCTACTAGAGACGTGCTCCAAATATATCAACATGGAGAATGCGGAAGTTAACTTTATCCAGCAAGAAATTTAGGCGAGAGAAAGATAGAAAAGTGGAAGAACGACGCCGACCTGACGGGCGGGATAAGGTCGTGAGGGAATACAAGTAGATAAGAAGAGTTGGAAGCTAGGGTAGATATTAGATTGATATATGTTTGTCGTGTTGTTGTCGAGTATGACTGCAAAGACCAACCTCTAGTCGTCTCTCAAAGTAAGGTTGTTCGGAACAAAATTTAGACAATGATTGACTCACAAAAAGGTAACATAGAAATTCTAAACACTCTACTCGCAAGATTCGAGGTTGATTTAAGCTAAATAACGCAATTTGAGCGTGAGAATGAAGCAATACCCAAATTTTAATGCATAAAAATCCTCAATGTGCAATAAAAAAGAAAAATAAAAGGAGAAAAACTAAGAACCCTAAGACCCAAGGTAGAAAGAAGGTACCCATAGGTTCAGAAGCATGTAATCAAGTTATCGTCACTCGCGATGACTAATCTAACTCTCAATCAATTCAAGCTCACACAGTAAACAACAAAATCACTTATTCCCTAGCCTACGAGGGTGATAACCTATTCTACTTATAAAAGTTCCTACATTTACCCTAGAAAATCTAATTGGACCTTAAACTAAGTCTCCAAGCCTCTAGTAGCATCCACGAGAAGAAATAATCAATGTGCATTCTTGACGAATAAATATCACAATAAAAATTGGGTTTTGAAGCCCTTAGAGAGAGAAAAGAAAATAAAGAGAGAGAGAGAGAGAGAGAAAAAACTAAGAAGGGAAATTTTTGCAAATGAAGACGTGTTTTCAAAATACAAAGGATTTAGTCTATTTATATTTACACCACAAACACACACTAAAAGATACACATTTAATAAACAGCACTTACGATCTGGCCAAAATGTTCGTTGGCTCGCGAGTTGGTAGGCTGCGCTCGGGGACTGGTTAGCTGACTGATGGGTGCGCGGGCTGCTGGGAGAGCGGGAACGTTGTGCATGACATGGGGCGTGCGTGCGGACAATGGGTGACGCGCTGGCGTCCTCTTATATGGGTGGCACTTCTCTCGGCGACGCTCGTGCGTTCACTAGTTTTTTGTATGGTTTGGCGAGAAATATAGCGTGGTGTACTGGAAAAATTTCCCAGGTGGCGAGTTATGCGATGGAGCTCTGGTGGACGCTAGCAAGCTACGAGTGCATGGGGCGCTGGGCGATGCTGGGAGACGTCGACAAGTGTGTGCGGGTGTGGCCCGAAGACCTCGAGCATTGGTGTGTGAGCAATGTGCAGTGGCACTAGCGGTGGTGGTGTGCAACCAACCTGCCCACGTGCCACCAGAGGTCACGGTACGACCTATGAACCGCCTCATGGTGACAAGACAGGGAAAAGACGAGCCTGAATGGTCTATTAACTCTCTTATTGTGGTAACACAAGATCGACGAGACTCAACACTGGAATGTTGGCGGCTCAACTACACGAGCTCCAGGAGAAGATCGAGGGACATTGTGGTCCCAGTCTTTCCAGGTATCTTTTTTTTGATGAGGTAGTCGATGCAGATTCGTCGCATGGATTTCGGGAACTGAACCTGTCTTATGATGGGTCTACTAACCTAAGTCGACATTTGAGAAGTTTCTAGAACATGGTTGTTCTGCATAAGTACAACTACCCAGTTTGTTGTCGAGCATTTTTTGCTACAGTGAAAGGTCCTGCTCAGGATTAGTTTCATCAACTCGCACCAAGATTTGTGAAGGATTTTCAGAGGTTTAAGTCAATGTTTGTCAATCACTTCTCTAGTGCACGTAAGCACGAAAACTCTACATGTGATCATTAATATACAACAAAAGGATGGAGAGTCTCTCAGGGCATACATAGCTTGATATACCAAGGCGTGCGTAAACTACCTTCTGCCTACGAAGAAGGGAATGTAGGAGGGATGACCAGGGGATTGCAACCTAGTCCCTTCACATATTCATTGTCTAAGCGACCTGTATGGTCTTGCGATGAGCTAATAGAGAGGTTCCTCAAATATATCAACATGGAGAAGGCGGAATGTGACTTTATCCAACTCGAAGGCGAGGCGAGAGAAAGATATAAAAGTGAAGGACGATGTCGATCTTACAAGCGGAAGTCAGGCTGTGAGGGAATACAAGTAGATGAGAAGAGATCACTGCAATGAAGAGGGGCTGGAAGTCACTATTCCCCCTTCGAACTCACTTTGCTCCCTTGAGGTGGGAAGATCTGAATCAAGGAAAGATATTTGATCGATATACTCTCTGTAAATGCCTCTAGGTCAAGTCCTCAATGGAGAGAAGAGATGACCTCGGGCTGTTGGATCGACCAAGGCCTATCTTGAGGAAATATGTGGTCCCTATAGGTCAATCCGATATATATTTCCATAATAATTGGAATTACAGTCACACGACAGATGATTGTAAAGAGCTTAGGGACGAAATTTAAAGGCTAATACGATCAGGGCACCTAAAGGAGTTTGTCTTTAAGGATAGGGAGCCCAAGAAGGAAATGAGGGAAAGAGATAAAAAATGGTTGTAGGACCAAGAGAATCCTGAGCAGCTCCTCGAAAGAAGGAACATGAATATGATTTACGGGGACTGACGTATGGTGACTCGAACTAAGCAAGGAAGCGACATGCGCGTAGGATAAGTTAGAAAGAGCAGGTTGAAGAGATCCAAGTTGCAGAAGGGGTATCTTCTATACAATTTGGGACATTTAAACTATGTGGTGTCCTCTCACATCACAATGCACCTTGGTGATTTCATTGGAGTTCGCCAATTATGAGGTGCAGAGGATGTTTGTAGACACTAGTAGCTCGATGGATATAATTTTCACACATTGTTTCAAGAACATCGACCTAGGGTTTTAGTTGCAAACAACACTCTATGGGTTTAGCAATTCTCAAGTGGTTCCATTAAGGGAAAATGACATTGTCAGTGGCCTTGGGAACACCTCTGTTGTGATAACTGAAGATGGTCAGGTTCTTGGTCGTCAAGACTGAATGACGTCCAATGTGATATTGGGATGACCAAGTGTAAATGTGTTCTGGGAAGCTGTGTCAACCTACTATATGATGATCAAGTTCCTTGTATGTGACAAATTTGGGGAGATTACAGGAAACTATAAGATAGCAAAGTCGTGTTACAATATTAACCTGCAAGCTAGACATGGTATGAAAAGGAAAACAAATGTAAATGTCAACAGGGTAGAGAACTAGGTCAAGCTGAACGTAACCTCCCAGGACGAACTCCAGGAGATCAACCTCGTAGAAAAAAAAAGGAAAACATAGCCCGTATTGGTCGAGATCTCGGTACGGACATACGAGAAGAGCAATATGTTACTAAAAGAATTTGTGGATATCTTTGCTTTCAATCCCAATGAGCTCAAAGGCATTAGCTAGGATGCCGTGGTGCATCGTATGAATATCGAAGAAAGAGTAAATACTTTGAAGCAGAAACGTAGACACTTCAGAGCTGAGTTGGATGTAGTGATTTAGCAGGAGGTCAATTAGTTGGTCAAAGTAGGGCACATCAGGTTGATCCAATTCCTAGAATGGTTGTCCAATGCAGTCATGGTAAAGAAAGATTTGGGCAAGTGGAGATTGTGAATCGACTTCTGCGATCAAAACAAAGTGTGCCCAAAATACCATTATACTTTGTCGCAGATTGACCAGCTTGTGGACTCGATAGCCGGTTGCGAGCTATTGAGTATGATGGACGCATTGCAGGGCAACCATCAAGTCACTTTGGCATGGGAGGAGCAGAAACATGTTATCTTTGTCACGACGCGAAGGACGTACTGGTATGTGGTCATGTCGTTCGGTTTTATAAAACAAGATATCCACGTAACAGCGGTTAGTCGACCAGATGTTCAAAGGAGAGATGGAGCAAAATATGGAGGTCTATTTTGATAACATGCTCGTCAAGACTAGGCACGCAGCCGACCATGTCAGTGATCTAAGGGAGACATTTACAACTCTCAAATCGTATGGGATGAAGTTGAATCCGACTAATGCTTGTTTGGCATCAGGTCAGGAAAATGCTTATTTTAAAATTTTTGTGTTCCAATTACAGTGGTATCCTATGAACTGAAGTATAAGGTTCAATTCTATAAATTAAACTAAAAACCAAAAACATAATTACAAACTGAAAGCGGAAATACAATAGCCGAGACGAGTGTTGCTCTTTTCACAAGACAAATACGCCATGTAATGTGGTGGCTGGTTCAGGCATCTTATCCCCAAAGATACAACGGCCTATGTCTTGAAGGCTATAGCAAAACAGACTTTTGAGCTCCGACGAACTTGAACGGAGTTCAGAACTGGGCACCATATGTTATGATGCGTGAGACTTTTCTGGAGAATAAGAATGCAGATGATATTGTGAGTGTTATCTCTATATGATGTCCAATTTATAGGACTTCCAGTTCAGAAGGGAAAGACAACAGTCATCTGCCACTCAAGGTAGGTAACAACCCACTTAAGGCTGTTCTAATGGGAAGAAATGGTCAGTCCGTTTTTCAGGTGTTAACACACCATTACTCAAGTGTTAACACACCATTATTCCACCTGAAACAGTCAGGTTGAGTCAAACGTCTAGACACAACATACCTGGAGAGTTCTCACTCGGGTTGGGTAAAAAACCTGAGTCCAAATCTAACTTGAATTGGATTTCAATTTGGGCCACAAATTTGCAGCAAAAGATATATAGTGGATGGGCCCAATGCCTAAACCCTGCACCAAGCCCAATACCTGCCCAGACCGTCCAAGGCCGCTCAAGTCCAGCCCACATTCTAAGTACTCAAGCCCAATTCTGAGCTGAGCCGCCCGACGACTGACCTGCCGACGTGCGGGCACGTGCATGTGTGTGGTCGACGTCAACACTAACACTTGGTACATAGCTTTGTTGTTGTGACCTCTCCAACTCTCTTTATTATAATAAAAAAGTACTAATCTCATTTAAGAGTCCAATGTGGGAAGTACGGACGCTTGACCCTTCGAATCTCACAATCATCGCTTTATGTGCTTAATTATGACTAATTTTAATCACTTATCTTTCATTCACCGAAAATCAGTTTAGAGAAAGTATACCACGAGTATCTATTTGGAACGTAGAATGTTCCTACATAATTTAATTCAACCAAAATTAAATATTTAGCCATAAAAAATCAGTCAAAATCGGATCAAATCCAAGTTTTTATATCTGATTTTGCCACAATTCTTAAACTATTTGATAATGAAGAGAAGACTCGAGGTTAACCTCGAGAAGGTGCGGGCCATCATGGACATGAAACCACGTGCACCAAGGAACCTACGGGAGGTGCAGATGCTCGCAGGACAACTGGCCAACCTCAGCCGGTTTATCCCCCAATCGACATGAAACTAGCAAAGAATCTGACAAAACATATGATAATTGATTTGATCAACTAATATTCTAAAGTATATAAATCTTTACGGAATCACTATTGTCCCGTCACGAAATGATTATGTGGTTCTTATTAACCTTTAGATACACATGTAGATTAGTATATGATAGATAATCCACAATTAAAATATACTGACGAAAATTGTAGTCCTTTCCAAATCTTTGATTAATAAAAGGAAAGGAAATAGTAAAGTCAATGAATTATGAATAACTTAGACCATGATTACAAGAAAAATGAAACTAAAGAAAAAAGAAAATAAAAAGAACTGATAGGAAAAACCAAAGAAAAAACAAAACAAACGAGGTTCCTACATTTTTTCAACAAACAATCCGTAAAAGCCTCAAAAACCACAACATGTTATTTATGACTATTAGGCCACTTTGTCCATTTAACTTGTCCTCTTTTTTTTTTATCCATCTCCATTTAGCCCTTAGGCTAATCTCCTCAATCCCATCATTTTTCTCTCTGCACAAACAAACCCAACATTCCATTCAACATACACAACAATAGATCCACCATGTAAGTTCCGTTCATTCATATATTTCATGCATTTAAGTTTTATTTCATTAATTAGGATATTGATCACTTGTGTAATTCGCAACGTAGTGGGATCGAGAAAAATAAAGAAAGGTATTGATTGTTGTTTCTCTAGCTAAGCTTATCGTCGAGGATTGATGTGACTCAATCCTCGAGGGAGCTAGGCAGAGAAATCAAATGAGAAATAATAAAGAAATGACGTCGTTAGGAAATCATGACGGTATTCAACCTGCCCTCACGAGGCGAGCCTCCCGCAGTGCCACCACCACCTTCTCGATGGAGGTGTTCGACAATGAGGTTGTGCCTTCTTCTCTCCAATCAATCGCTCCCATTCTTCGGGTCGCCACTGAAATTCAGAACGAACGTCCACGTGTTGCCTACCTATGTATGTTGCATGCATGCATGATTCAATAATCCTCTTTTCCTCATTTATTTATTTTTGTCGTTGAGCTAGCTGGAGAAGAAAGTAAAATTTCGAATATATGGTAAAATTATCTTTCTTTTTTCTTTATGATTTTTATATAGGTCGGTTTTATGCTTTTGAAAAGGCACACAGATTGGATCCTAATTCTAGTGGACGTGGTGTGCGCCAATTCAAAACCAGCCTCCATCAAAGACTTGAAAGGGTAATAATTATTTGTAAATTGGTTTTTATTTTAGAAATTGAAAATTTCTATTTAGGAAAAAAGGATTATCAATGGCTATATTACTAGTATTATCACGGTTCATGTATGAATGCACAATCAAACATATCATCTTTGAGCTTCATAAATGGCTATAGGATTTATCACAATCACCGGTTTAGCGTGGGACAAGAAAGGAAAAAAGGGACGGACAAACAAGGTAAAGTATGGGAAATAAATGAAGTAAAATTAGATTAAAGAATAGTGATTAATATTATAATAGAACAAACGGGATATGTCAATCATGGTCATGTCCCATAAGATACTCCTAATATAAGCTTGACTTAGGTCTAGCTCGACGAACCAAGAATATGATATGCCTCGCACTCGCACAACCTATACCATTTTAAATAAATATATACCATTTGATGTATATAAATGGAAAATGCTCTCCTACTCATAGTGGGCACAAATTAATTTGCCCACCACTTATGTGGCATGTATGAGACATGTACACATCACCAAGCATTATTTTCTCCAACAAACTTATACATGCCACATAAATGATGGGCAAATTAATTTGTGCCCACTGTGAGTAGGGGAACATTTCCCGTATCTAAATTGTCTGAGATTTATACATTGGGTTCTAAATTTAATATATTAAGTTTTTATTTAAATGACGAAGAAGATAAGAATATTCAGTTTGAAAATGAAAAGAAAAAATAATCATAAAAATCGTATAAATGTTCAACTCAAATGTGATAAATGTAAGAAACATAAATAAGATACAGATATTTAATTATTTGATCAAATGTTATTCATTAATATTTAATGCAGATGAAATCAAAATAGAAAAATCATATGAATTTACATAATCTTTATGAAAAAAAGAGAAAAAAAAAAGAAGAAAGGAAAACTACCTAGTAAACACAGAATGTCTCATTTTTATTATATAGACATAAATGTTTAACCTCAAGAGTCGTGAAGAATACATTCCATGGCCGATATATCATATATTCCAAGTCAGAGGAAGAGTTTTTAAATAATCAACAACACGAAGCTTCACACGTTTTATTTATTGTTTTACTGATTTGTCTAATAACTATTAAGCATCTCTATCACCACAAAATAAATTATTGGATACGAGTAGTGAGGCATTTTTTTTATACGATAAACTTGATATGCATGCAATGGATTAATTAATAAATGTAGAAAATAATTTAGTTTATGAACTAGTGGATTATGTATGAACTAATTAATATGTTGTATGCATTATTTATGAATTAATATACACTATGTATAAACTAAATGTGCACCATTCAAACATGATAGAGTCCTTGTCAAATATGCAATTGATATAAACTAAATTTGGATTATGTATGAACTAAATATGTATTTTATATGAACTAAATGTGTTGTATACATTGTTTATGAACTAATATGCACTATGTATAAACTAATTAAATGTGCACTATTCAAACTCGTAGTCAAATATGCAATTGATATCATCTATAAGTATACATTATGAATGAAGTAAGTATGCATTATGTATGTCATTTTTAACTGAATATGCATTATGAATGAACGAAATATGTATTATACATGTATGCGTTAAATACGCATTATGTATTACTTTAATTATATTTAAAAATAATAATTACATATTTAAATTAATTATATAATAAAAAATTAATTGACTAGTTTGACTGTCGACCAATGGTCGTTGGCCGACGGTCAACGCGTGTCAATTAATTGTTTTTATATAATTAATTTTAATATAATTATTATTATTTTATTATTTAATTAACATAATTTTAATTGATTCATATGAGTCATAAATTACACACAAATAAGTGAAACTGTCTCACATTCCATTTTAATGAAGGGCCCATTGGATACACATATACTGTAACGCCGGCTTATTTTCAAAAGAAAAGACAAGATTTTTAGAAATAATTTAAACTCTTTAGAAAAATATTTTTCCAACAGAAACCTTCAGGCATTACTCAAAATTTCTTTTCTTTCCAATCATTGAAATAAAGCATAGTTAAAATTTTCCAATACAATCAAATAATTTGTCAAATATAATAGAGTCTAAAAGTAAGGATGCACGGATTGGATTTTTTCTCACAACGTCGGCCACTCCTCGGTTATTCATTCTCGAAAAAAGGCTCGGTGGTCGGGTCAATGCTCCTTCCGATACCTATTTTTGATTTAGTTCACATTTATTTTTCCTTGGCCCATTCATTCTCTTGTAACTCAAATTTTAATCCCCAAAGCCCAAACCTCAAAAGTTACCTTAGGGGTTGTTTGGTTGGAGGAAAAATGAAGGGAGGGGAGGGGGAGGGGAGGACATTTTTTATTTTTCCCTTGTTTGGTTAGGAATTTGGGATAGGAGGGGAAGGAAAATTTTAACTTAAAAATTAAAATTCCCTCTCCTCCTCATTTTTGCTCTCCTCCAAAACTGGGAGAATTTAGAGGTGGGAAAAAATTTTAATGGGTTAAATTACAATCTTACCATTTTTATATAATTCGTAAGTTTTATTTATAACACCATTAAGGTTATATTTGTCATTTTAACATTATTCTCTCCTCTTTCATTTTTTTATCAAACAAGGTTTACCATTTTTCCTCCCTTCCCCTCCAACAAAATCTCTCCAAACAAGATAAAATTATTTCACGTCACCTCCTCTTCCCTCCATTTCCCTCCATTAAAATCCCCCCTCCCTTCCCCTCCATTGAACCAAACACACCCTTAGTAATCAAAATGGGAAACTACATGTATATACATATATTCCGAGACTTTTTTTTATATAGTTCTTCTGTATTGGCCTCCATAGTTTTACCGTCTCTGAAAGAGCAAAAAAACACTGAAAATTTGGTTATCAGGAAAATGCATCAACTCTAGCGTCTCGGGTGAAGAAGACGGATGCTCGCGAAATCGAAAGCTTTTACAAACAATACTACGAGCACTATGTGGTGGCGCTCAACAAGGGGGAACAAGCTGATAGGTGATTGTGCTAATTTTCAAACTACATTTCCTTTTCTTCTTCTTCACTTTTAACATGTGATTTCATGTCTTTGAAATGACAGCAACTTGATTTGAAGATGACGAATTTAACAAACAACTTTTATTTTCTTTCTTTCTTTTTATGTCCTTCAGAGCACAGCTGGGGAAAGCTTACCAGACAGCTGGTGTGTTGTTTGAAGTGCTTTGTGCTGTTAATAAGACCGAAAAAGTCGAGGAAGTTGCCCCTGAGGTTAGTTTATTTTTTATGGTTCGCCTTTTATCAATTGTATGATGATTATGTTTATGATGCAGGATGAAAACTAACGGTTTGTTTCGTATTTAACAGATCATGGCTGCAGCTAACGATGTCCAGGCGAAGAAGGAAATATATGCTCCGTACAATATTCTTCCCATGGATTCTGCTGGGGCAAAACAGTCAATTATGCAGCTGGAAGAGGTGAGACACTTGCTACATATCTGCAGCATTCATATTTGCATACTCCACCATTCCCAAATTATTTGTCATCTTAGTTGTTAATATTTGTGCCAGCATGGTTGTTTTTGGAATTCAAAACTGACTTCCTATTTCCTCCCCTGTTTGCCCTTATTTACTCTTACTCAACTAACAACATTACTATGTTTTTTTTCAACTCATTACACTCTTCTAATAACGGCAGGTGAAAGCGGCCGTGGCTGCTCTACAAAACACCCGTGGCTTGACATGGCCATCCTCATTTGAGCAGCAAAGACACAAAGCTGGTGAGCTGGACCTCCTTGATTGGCTGAGAGCCATGTTTGGGTTTCAGGCACGTCTTGTGAACTGTTGAACAAAGATGATAAAATCCATCCATGTCTTTTTGTCGGGGTCTAAACCTCTAATCTCACTTGGTTACTTTTTTTACGCTTACAGAGAGACAATGTGAGCAACCAAAGGGAGCATTTAATACTACTGCTCGCGAATATTCACATACGGCTAATCCCCAAGCCTGAACCACAAAACATTGTATGTATGCCTTGTCTGTTTATCCTGTGCATATACACTGAGAAGGGGCATATATTGACTCTCTTCACAGTTAATATGGAGAGTATTTTACGTTTAGCTGCAGTGCATTTAGAAAATATATTTACACTAAATTAGTTTGTTGCTATGTATGATCTTATTGTGACGTGTTTGGTTACAAGCCACACATTTGAGTTTTATATCAATTATACTATTATGATTATGTGCATAACACGATTTCTGAATTGGATGTACATGTATACATATTGTGCATGAGCTTGTTTATTATCAGTGCAAGTTGCTTAAGATTCCTTATTTTTTTCTTAGCTCGACAATCGAGCTGTTGATGCACTCATGAATAAGCTTTTCAAGAACTACAAGACATGGTGTAAATACTTGGGAAGAAAACACAGCTTAAGGTGAAACAATATCCTGGGGTGAAATTAAATAATGTGACATTTAGTTTTCATGTAGTAGGAGGATTAGCTCATAATTAATACTTCATTCTTCTTGATCTTAGACTCCCAAAGGGTCAGCCAGATGTGCAGCAGAGAAAGATACTTTATATGGGTCTTTATCTTCTTATATGGGGTGAAGCAGCTAATGTCCGCTTCATGCCTGAATGCATATGCTACATTTTCCACAATGTGAGTTGAAAAAGTGAAATTACAAATAAATGCGGTAAAAATATTTTTTTGATCATACGAGTGCATGTTCAGATGGCATATGAGCTCCATGGACTCTTAGCTGGAAATGTTAGCATTGTCACAGGAGAAAACATCAAGCCTTCCTATGGAGGGGATGATGAAGCCTTCTTGCGGAAAGTCATAACACCTATTTATCAAGTGATTGAAAAGGTAAATTCTTGGCACTGGAATTGTTTGGTTAGAACCAAGCCTCTTTTCTGTAGAGATACTGACATGGACCACATGGTGTTTGTATGGCTACCAGGAATCCAAGAAAAGTAAAAACGGGATAGCCCCTCACACTGCTTGGTGCAACTATGATGATTTAAATGAGTACTTCTGGTAAAGAAATATATAGAAAAGTAATATTTGTTATTGATACCGACTTTTTCTTGCTACAGCAAGTGATTTTGAAAAAATAAACACAGGTCAACAGATTGCTTCCATTTGGGTTGGCCAATGCGTGATGATGGTGAGTTTTTCAAATCAACACGAACTGTGACGCAGGTAATTGAAGTTGGCATTCCCTAGAGAATTTTTCTTTGGTATATCGAACTTGCACTTTTTAATTAGCACAAGTATGAATACTATTTCAGGGGAAAGGTGGTTCGAGAAAACCTGCCGGCAAGCTGGGCAAATCATTCTTCGTAGAAACTAGGACGTTCTGGCACATTTTTCGGAGTTTTGATCGTCTGTGGACATTTCTTATTCTTGCACTACAGGTAGATATGAAAAATATTGGAAGAACAGTTAATCCAGAAATGTATATGTTCTGAAACATCGAGATTCTTCAACTGCAGATCATGATTATCATCGCATGGAGTAGAGTTTCTGTATTTGATCTCTTCCAGAGGAAAACCTTATATGACTTGTCTAGCATTTTTATCACGTCAGCCTTTCTTCGTCTCCTTCAGAGTATGTAGTACCAATTTTCAAACTTATAACGACTTTCCTTTTTCGCCCTAATATATTCAGCTTTGAAGATATAGCCAACGCTCTTTTCCTGAAGAAGATCTTTTATTATCAACTTCCTAGACTTGACTTTTGTTGCTTATTGAAAAGCATTTTAATATTCCTACAGGCATTTTGGACATTATTCTAAACTTCCCGGGCTTCCTTAGGTGGAAATTCACTACAGTTTTGAGGAGCGTCCTCAAGATAATTGTCAGCCTAGCTTGGTCTATCATCCTCCCTATGTGTTATTTGGTCCAGATCAAGTCATCTTCATTTTCACAAATCAAAGAAGTGCTCTCTTTCCTTGATAGACTTAAGGGTGTGCCGCCTTTGTACATAATGGCGGTGGCTATATACCTGCTACCGAATTTGTTGGCTGCAGTCTTGTTTGTTTTCCCGATGCTCAGACGCTGGATTGAGAATTCCGACTGGCATATCATTAGGTTTCTACTGTGGTGGTCACAGGTACGTGGATAAAGTCTTGTTTACTCTTGTTTATGTGACACACAACTGATATTAATAAAAAGAGTTTTTCTGCGAGACCAATTGCCAAATAAGTGGGTTCTTCTACCTGCATTTCAATTTTTACATACATCAGTATTTCTCCAGTAACAAACCCATTATGATTCTTTACATAACTATTTCCGAGCAGTAGTTTGGTATTTTATGTATATTGTTTCCTGAATAAATTGTCTGCTTGAGAAATAACTTCAGATTCTGTAATATCTTCCATCACCATATATTGGATATGCATCTGTTACATTCTATGCAAAAATCAAGTTCCATTCACTGATGTAAATGTAGTATGTGTTCCGTTGACTGATGTAAATGTAGTATGTATATCACGTGGTGGTAATGAATGCATTAGTCTTGTATTTGCATTATTTTGTTATCTTGAGTAATAGATATGAATGGGTTCTAAAACATTGTTTCTAACCCTACAGCCAAGAATCTACGTGGGAAGGGGAATGCATGAAAGTCAATTTTCACTTATAAGGTATGCTATCCAAAGTTGTTTTTTATATGTATATAAACGTTTCATGACTCATATGATGCTGATGGACTTTTGTTCTATAATCCATTACAGATATACTTTATTCTGGGTGTTGCTTTTGTGTTCCAAATTTGCATTCAGCTATTTTATGATGGTAGGTTCACATCCTAAAATTGAGAGAATGTAACTATTTGGCTATAGCTGTTTGCCTCATTCCAATT